AGGTAATAACACTGCAGCTTATTAGCATTCATAATCCTCCATAATTCATGTTGATTCATGTTTTTTGATAAAGCAGATAGAGACTTTCTACACCTGATACTGGCTTTGGCGTTGTTGATGTGTAGCGTGGTCTGATTGTGGGGAAACAGTGGGGGAGGGAATGGAGGATAATGTGATTGTGAAGTGATGCTGTGTAGATATATGAGGAGCTGTCAGTGAAATGTGCTGCTGCACTCTGTAATGGGATTACATAAGAGTGTGAGAGAGATTGTTTCTCCAGTGCAACACTCCTTCTCTCTCTCTCTCTCTCTCTCCACCCCTCTGTCCCTCTATCAGTGTCAGTCTGTGAATCTGTTGGAACAGGTTGACTGTCTGGACCTCCTACATGGACACATTCCAGTGAGCAATAAACAACAAACACACACACACTTCATATATTAGAGCCCTCCCAAAAATCATCATCATAATCAGAGCTCAATCCTGCACCATGACCTCCCTCGGTGTGTGAGTGCTGTTTGTTTCAGTCTCTCTGTCTCTCTCTCTCTCTGTCTCTCTCTGTCTCTCTGTATGTTTCTCTGTTTTTCTCTTTGTTTGTCTATATACCTCTTTCCTCTTCTCTCTTTTACCTTTTTCTTTCTGTCTTTCTCTCCCTTTCTCTTTCTTTCTCCCTCTTTCTCTTTCACCCCTTCTGTGTCTGTGTATGTTTCTTTTTCACGTGCCTTTCTGTCCTTTTCTCTCTTTCTTTCTTTCTTTCTTTTTCTCCTTTCTCCTTCTCTTTTTGTCTCTCCCTCCCTCTTTTCCCTTTTATTATTTCTTTTTTCACTTGTAATCTCTTTTTTCTTGTGCCCCCCCCCCTCTCTCCCTCTCTCTCTCTCTCTCTCTCTCTCTCTCTCTCTCTCTCTCTCACTCACTCACTCACTCACTCACTCACTCACACACTCACTCACACACACACACACACACACACACCTCTGTATATAGACTCTCTGGTTGTGTTGTATTATGATAGCACAGTGTGTGTCACTGTCTATTTATCCGTCCTTTAGAAACGCATGTTCACACGTGCTCACGCTCACACGCTCACACACACACTCGGGCACACACACAGGGAGGATTATGTTTATCATGATAAACCAGTTTTATCCAGCTCGCTCTCTGGCCCAAAGCTAGATTAAGAGTGTGATTGCACATTAGATGAATCCTTATATACTATTTATGAATATAAACTTACACAACATGGAGCCCAGAGGTCTCTGAACTCCAGCACATTGAATTTGAACTGAAACAGTGCCTGTGCAGGTTTGTACATCTGTATCGAGTGAACTGCACAGAAATTCTAAGTGTGTTTATTCATTACATTATTAGGGTTGTCACTATCAGTTATATTAGTAATCAAGTAGTCAACCTTTTTTCATGCTTTTTTAAGGCCAAACAACAACATTGAACTAACCTGAACAATAACAAACCATGTATAGCCTTGGCAAAAGATAAACAAGGAGGCCATTCAAAAGACTTAAAACATTGTGTCTATAAATGGCTTTGATTCTGACTGTAGAGAACAATAAAAGAATTCAAAATATGCAGTATCATCTTGCTAGTTGCCAACCAATCACTGCCAGTTTGTTGAAAAATTGAATTTTAATCAGTTATATTTGTAAATTGATTAATCAGTGATGTTTGGGTAATTGTGTCAGCCATAAACATGTTGGAGGCTATAAAGATAGTGGGGATGGAATAATTAATTTTATTTAGTTGTTGATTATTACTTCAATGAGAATGAGAATGGCTCTTAGTGGGGATGCACTTATCATCCATTTGTATGGCCGATTCCGATTTCTTTACACTGTAATTGACCGATGCATGACCAAACCACAGCTGTTCTGAGGTCAGCTGAGAACCAGTCACTGCTAATTGGGTAGTTTTGTTACTTTTTTCCCCACATTGAATCTCATAAAACTCTTCCAAAACTTCAGAGGACCTCAGTGTCCCAACCCTAGTTACAAACATGACAGGCACTGATTACTGAAGCAATTGCAGATAGCAACGGTTGCTAAGCAGTTGTTGGAGGGTTGAGGAAAAGAAATAGAGGAGCTTGTCAGATTTTGATTGGCCATAATACAGTGACAGCGCTCATAGGAAACACATAATAAATATTCTGTCCTCATTTGGGTGGTCTGTGACACCGTCGCTGCACCCCTAAGTAGACTGTATTATCGTATCGGCACTGTTACTACATTTAATCTCATGAATGGACAAAAGTGAAACTACCAAGGTCTGGACCTCAGTGTCCTCATACCTAGTTACAGCCATGCTTACAGGTGCAGGTACAGATGTAGCAGCAGCAGCATTTAAAATCAGCGTGAGTGCACTTTCCTGGGTCACGTTTTAACGTCACAAAATTTCAACACAGTTTGGCCAAAGTAAAAATAACAAATCAACCTAAAATTTCGCCAAACCAATTGTTCACCCCCAAGTCTTCTGTGTCACCTGACTGTGGTGTAAACCTGATTTAAGGCCTGTGAGGACCTTGTCCTTTTGTGAAGCTTAATGAAAAAGGCAGTAACAGTCAATTCCTAGAGAGAAGACTCAGACAGATACAAAGCTAAACCTTTTGAAACAGCGTATCAGTGGAGCTTCTGAACAGATGCTGTTTGCCATAGAGCCAAGAGAAGTTTGAGGAGACACTCCAGTATGTGAGATTTATGAAGCCGTTGTACTCAGCTCGACTCTCTGGAGGAATGTCAGGAAGTCCTGTCCAATTTCGCATCCCTATGAAAACATCAATTACATACTCCTATGCAAATGCCTTCTGAACAGTGTCCAAGTGCTGTTTACTGTGCTGTGACAGCCCGTTTGGCTCTTCTGCTCTGTACACACAGCAGAGAGTTTGATTCCTGTAACGGTGGAGGAGAGAAGTGTTATTGATTAAGGCCTCATTGTGTTGGTGAAACTGTAAGAGAGGCTTCAGTAGAGGCTGCTTTAGTGCTGTAAACACTCACAATTACACACACTCACTGCTCACAGCGCTCACCTTATGAGGGGATAAGCAAGAGTGTCACTGTTATCGTCATAGACGCCTACATACTATTAGTCCTCCAGATGGGTCTGTGTTATTTTTTACTCATTCTGTTTCGCCTCTTAGCAACCATTTCAGTAGTATTTCATAATTAAAAAAGTAGAAGTTCTCAGCCCCCCAACTTTCTCTTAAGTGTGCCCCAAATGTACCACATTTTCAATCCAGGTTAAAAACATTAACATGAGTTCTAGGACTTGTGCTTCATTTTTACTGCACTTTGTTTTAATTTCTTTTTATGTTTTTTTTTTCTATATTCTTATTGCACTTTGCTCTCAATGAGCTAATTTTAATAACACTTTAGTCCTTTGTTTTAAATTTTATATTCCAGTTAGTTTAAATTTCCTTTTTTGTTTTTATTCTACTTATATAGCCATATTATTTAATATTATTTAATGCTTTTATTTTTCTTTGTTTGTTGAAGCACTTTGAATTGCAGCTGTGTGTGAATGGTGCTATACAGATAAACTTGCCTTGCCTTGCATTACCTTGCATTTCTCTCTCTTTCTTTCTGTCTACCTCTTTCACTCACTGTCTTTCTCTCTCCCCTCTCTCTCTTTCTCTTAATTTCTTAGTGGGAAAAGCAAAGTTAGCAATTTGGAAGTCCTTCAGATTGGCTGAAGGGCAGGAGGTGGATGTTTTAAAATTGTTCCAAGCCTCAGTGGAATCACACATTGGAGTAGATTTTTTTTTTCTTTTTTTCTTTTTTCTTTTTTAAGTACTCATAATATTTCTGGTTCTGAGAAAAAGTGATGTGCTGGTCAAAGTGTTGTATCTGTTAGTGATACAGGTTTGATTTCATTAGTAAATCTTTACTCTTTGGGGACCCTCATTATTATTAATATTTATAATGAAGTATTAGATTTTTTCTTTACTCTACATATAAAATATTTTAAATAAGTGTTTTAAAAAAGAGGTTTAAAAGTCTCTCTCTCTCTCTCTCTCTCTCTCTCTCTCTCTCTCTCTCTCTCTCTCTCTAGCTATGCTCCACCAGCTGCATGCTTGCACAACAATGAATTTTTATTCCCCTATTCAGGTCCTTTTATGAGTGGGTTTTCTGTAAGGCTTTCCCCATTTAAGACAGGGAAGAGAGGAGGGAGAGAGAGAGAGACGGGGTTCAGAGTAGAGTCTGCAGAAATGAGAGTGAGATTAATGCAGCAGTTCTCGGAAGGTCATGATGAGGAGAATTCTGCAGTAGAAAGTAGGTGAAGCCTGAGAAGGGCCATGTTCTCCTCTAGTGTTCTCTACTAGTGTTCTCCATTAGCGGTCTCTGTTACCAAAGCAACAGTGTCATAACTATAAAACTATAAATCAACACACCAGGAATGTCTCCATTTCTTCTCTAATTTAGCAGTCTGCTAGACTTCAACTTGCAGTATGAAGATCGAAATCTCTCATCTTTCACATGTTGCCTGCTGAAATGACCTTGAAATGGAGTTTTGCTTTTCTGCGTATCATATTGTGGAATGATTTTTAATTGCAGTCGGGGCTATTAGCCTTGCATTATTTTGCCAGATGGGACACCAACTAGCAGATGCTGCCTGTCCTTCTCTAGAGTATTAAGACTCAACACATGAGGGATTTAGTCATGATTGAGAGCTTTCTCACAACATCTTTGTTATGACTTTAATGTAAGCATTGGGATTTTTATAAGAAGGGGCAGTTAGTAAGCATAGACTGATACTGCATTTGCCTTGCAAAAACTACACAGTACTGAACTACTCAGGGAGGGAGATGATTCCCTCTGCGGAGAGTGTCTGAAAAGATGCCTCCAGCACATGCTACTCCATTTAGTTAATGTTGTGCATTCGTTTTAGTTAACTTATGGAGTCTTTTACTTAAGCTGTGTTATACTTTTCTAAAATGGCTTGCTAACTCTCTCTCTCTCTCTCTCTCTCTCTCTCTCTCTCTCTCTCTCTCTCTGCAGGCATGCACACCAGCATTAGTGAGATACTGAAGGAGAAGACTCTGAAGCCGTCTCGTCGCAGTCTGCCCTGTCTGGCTCAGAGTCAGACACATCCTCACAACCTTAACCACTTCCTCTCTGTGCCTCTGAGTCCGGAGCCCAAAGCAAACGCAAACACAAACACCAACAGCGTCAGTGCCTCCTGCACACACATCACCACTCCACCTACAGGTACTCTAACACACACACACACACACACACACACACACACACACACACACATCACATCTCTGCCCTCAGGTTACAAACAGACTGACTACCTGTTACTGCTTATTTGCATCAACTCCACTCAGCTTTTTTTTAGTGGTTAGAAAATGCTTATAATTTATGCTGTAAAATTAATTTCACCCTTTAAAACCTCTTTAGAACAGTTTGAACATTTCATAATTTGAACACTTGACAGCAGTTTTGGAAAGGTTCTTAAGTGCCATGTTTGGACTTTCGGTGATCAATAGTAATTTCACATTATTGCCCACAATGCAGTTCTGGCTAGAATATTAGCTAGCTAAATCACCTTCCTGAAATCCAGCCTGCCCTTACACCAACCAGTGCTCCACTTACAGCATCATCAGTAAGTGCCCCTGTTCCATTAAACCTTCTGCTCCCAGTGGAGCCTCGTATACACATACACACACACACACACACACACACACACACACACACTGCTGAGAGTGCTGCTGACTGCTTCAGACGCTCTTTCATTCCACAGGTGACAGAGGCCTGGTCCTAGATCTTTTTTTTATGGAAATCGCAATTAAAAGACTGCAATTTTTTTACTTATAGCCTACATTATGAAAAACATCATCCCAAGGTTGAGTAGGATAAGTTAACACAGAGGACACAGAAAACACAGAGCTTGCGAAGCACTTCTAGATAAGTTAGACCAATCAGAGGCAACCAAACCTCCATGTGTTGTGACATGACAACCACAACTTATTTGCTGTCTGGCAAACTACATTTAGGGGTCAAGCCTCAAGCCAGAAAGAGTGGATATCCTGGTCTTTTTGGCCATAAAAACAGGCCTTAATTGAAAATAATAGTAATTTAAATTGGCATTGCAATATTAGTTTGAAAAATCGCTATTGAATATTTTCCTCAAATCGTTCAGCCCTACCTGGTCTGGTGTTTCCCAGTATATTTAGTCCCATTTAAATAATTTCTAATTTCCATTTTGGCCCATTTTAATTTCAAATATCAAAATATTTTACATCGTTATTTATAACCATGCGTATCAGCTGATCCTCAAGCTTTCAGTATCCTATCAGAAAAGAAAACTGTGGTATCATGCATTTCTAGTATTGTGTTATTGTGTTTTTGTCTTGTATGTATGTGCTCCCAGCTTTGACTAATTTTTTGTGATCAGTGACAACAAAGTGGAATCTATTTTCATCTGTCAGTTATGCACTTAGTTGAATGTTATATACAATCTCCAGTAAGCATAATGTGACATTAAACTTAAAGAATATTTTTCAGATAGATTTCAGAGATTTTGAAGAATTGACAGACATTCTGTTTCATTAGTTCACCGTGTTGATGGCATGTCAGATTTGTGGCGGCGATTATTATTTAAATGCTGGGACACATACAGGGATTTCATGAGGTGTAACAATAGTAGCTGTTTGGCCTAAACCAAAGAGCATTGAGTGATCAGATCTTAGTACTCAGATATGGTGAGCCTTCATGCTAATGTTTCATGTGTATGGTTAGGACAAGGACACAACCAGAATAATAATTTTGTAACCAATGCCAATTTTAAGGAGCTTAAAAGTACCAATAACCAGTAATATTGGTTGACATAATTTACTGTAATATGGTCAAAAAGTAAACAGACTCGACTGCCAGGTTTGTTTTAAGACAACTTATTTCACAGCTTATTTGTGTTAACTCAACTTGAGGGCATTGGTGAACTCATATTCCCTCAAATTGAGTTAACTCAAAAAATATATAAGATACTTTTTTTTTTTTTTGCAGTGTAAAAAGTACTAAAAGGTGCTTCACTGAGTGATGTGTGTCAGTTGTCAGATATGATTGTCAGTTGTAAGTAGTCAAGTAATTTAAGCTATCTATATAAATATACTAGCATGGAAGCAAAGTTTCCACAATTATTTGTATCTCTTGCTTACCCAGCTAACTGTAAGCTTTGTTTGATTTAAACTTGCTGGCAATGGCAAGGTAGATTTTTTTTCCTTCTTTGGTGACTCTCCCATGGCTGGTTTATGTGCACACACAGATGCATACATTCTTATTTGTGACAAGATTGATCGTTTGCCTTTTTTCCCCGCACTCAAGCATCTAAGACAGATAATGGTACAGTAATAACTCAGAAGTTGTTAGGGGGCCTCCTGACGACCACTTGGCCCTAAGCAGCTGCTTATCTTGCTTATTAGGTAGAGCCAGCACTGTTTTTCATCATGTTAAACGTTAGGTTTGGATGCATTCTTTGTGTTTTTCTTATTCTAACCATTATGGTGTTTTGTGTTACTGTCTTACTGTATTGCAGGTGGTGACTGTCAGCCTAGCAGTCTTTAGAGAGTGTTACAGTGTTCTGTTTTTACAGTATAAAACAGCACACAAGATGCTGTTGTCAGTTTATTTCTGCTTATCAGACAACCAGTATATCGGTCAGGACCTGGTTAGGACATTCTAAAAATAGAGAAAGGCAGAGTTAGGGATCTGATATCAAAGTGGATTTGACAGTGGAGGCCGGACTGCAGAGCAGGGCATCAAGGCTATTGATCGACGGAGCAGCTCTGATTGCTGTTTACCTGATACCTTTATAGATTTCTTTTACTTAAAGACCGGGCTTCTGTTTAATTCCCTCTAGCTTATCATGTGTCTACGGGCGTAAATTTCTCCTAAGAAAAAAGCCCTGCATGGTGTGAATCCAGAAAATTGGGTAGTGAGTTAATTGCCTTTGTCATTTAAGATTGAGTAATAAGTCACTGCCGAAAGCAGTATTGCCAGAAGGGTGCAAGAAGCCCTGCTCATTTGTTTCTATCAGCATGTGCTCTCAAAGAACATCTATATTCATTTGAACATCTGGTGTGCTAGCAGCCCTAATGTTCAAAAATGACCTTTTTCTTTTATGAAGCACATATTATATGTTCTGATATCTGCTGGTGTCTAGCACTGAGGGAATGCTGCTGTTGCACAGAGTGAGTTGACTTTTATACAACCAGAATGGTATATTGATGAAGTTAGTTAGAGGGAGGAGATAAATCGATTAGACTAGAGTCAATTATGCGTAAGGAAGTGCGAAGACACTTAATAAAAGGCCTGAATGTTGCTGTTCCATTGACACTCTTTAGAGGATGCTGAGAGCATTATATCATGTTACTGTACTGTTTTAATGGTCAGTGTCATAAATTACATATACTCTCATTCTGGATTTCTTCTTGCAGGACTGACTTTAATCGATTGTAAATGTGACACATACTAAGCAGTACTGTTGTAGTGTTGTAGCTTTTTTGTTTTGTTTTTGACCTCATTGTCATTTTCTGCAGCATCATTACCACCAACATGACGAACCTTCATCATTCAGTCATTGTCATGCTCACCCTCATCTCAGAGTCTTCTTTCTTCCTCTGAGGTGTGCACACAGTACTGAGTTGCATATCAAGTACAAACATCAAGCCTCTTCTCACTTCATCATGATCAGAAGCAGGTTGTTAATGGCAGCAGGGATGCTGCTGGGTGTTAGGCTCGGCTTCAGATAACGAGCACGCTGTTAGCTTCTCTCTGGAGTCCAGAGGAGAGAGAGTGCCCAAAGTCACAGACCAGGCCAAAGACAGCAGAGGGCAAAGGCAAATTGATGTGCCTTTAAACTTAAATCAGAGCTGTGCGTGTTCTTGTGTGTTTGTCCAGTACCAAAGCACACAGAATCATGTTAAGACACTTGGTCAAATCGCTCTTACAGGAGAAGATCTTGAAAAAATTCTGCGTAGTTTATTTGTTGAGATGTAAACAGAGTAATTCAGAGCAGTTTCATGTCAAATTGTGCGTTGTAGAGAAACCTACTGACTCAAATGTCTTTACCATGTTGGTGACACAAATGTAGCCTATTTATTTACTATTTAAAATGATCAGTGAGTGTACATGTGTTTCCTAATTTTTAACATGTAATGTTGATGATGGTAAAATAGTAGTAAATCTGAAAAAATATGTTTTATTTGGAGACTGTTTTGTCTTTGAAGGTCCTGCATGTATTTCCCTGCATGAATGGATTGAGCAAAATATGTTTTAAGCCAAAACCATCTCAAAATATTGTGACACAATATCTCTGGCATCAGTCAGCATATAACCATTGTAAACATTTTATATAATAACTTTCTGTAAGGAAGCTTTTAGGGGGAATAAGCTCTTCAGACGTCTGGTTCCTATCCCCACTGTTGTGAACAGTAAGGTTCTCTTGAATGGTGTATTTCACGTCTAATCACTCTGACTTCATTTACATTCTAATGATTCAGTTATACAGAAATTTTGAAAGATTGGTGGAATCCCCCTTTAACGCTGTGTGATATCTGACATCGGGTCTGCACCAATACATTGTTGGTTAACCATTATGACTTATATATCGCTCACAATTTATTATTTCAAATCCGATCACAATGTTTTTACAATGTTTTCAAATCCGATCACAATGTTTGTTTTTTTTTCCATATGTTTCTGTAGGTGTTTTGATGAATTAAGGTATTCATAATCCAGTTATTTTGTTAATTTTATTATTAAATAATTTCTGGTCACATACAGTGTTTTCATGAGGTACGACTGTTTTGGCCTGAGAATGTTGTGTAATCTAACCTTAGTACTCAGATATGATGAGATTTTATTATAATATCTCATGTGTATGGTTAAGACAAGTGCTTCATGTGCTCAAATCCCACTTTACTCAGCCGCAGACATTCTAACTGTACCTGAAGCATGACGAACAATACAATAATTTTGCGATCAATACTGATGTTAAGGAGCTTAAACCTACCAATAATATCATAATATTGATTGGTATTATTGATTGTAATATGCTCTTAAATTAAACTACACTGTAAAAAATGTGTCAACTTAAAATTTTAAGGCAACTTCACATCTTATTTGAGTTATTTGTGTACCTCAATATGAGGGCAGTGGTGAATTCCTATTATTCCCTCAGGTTAACTCTAAAAAGCCATTAGGTGTGATGCCTTAAAATTTCAAGTTGATGCAACTTTTGTTTTTTCTTCCTTTGTAATAGTCTTGCTAAATGGCACATTAAAAGACCACTTCTATGAATTTTCTTTTTTCTGATGTACATTGTTGTGACTTGGCTTTACACATACAAGAAATAGTAATGCTACATTATGAGTAATATCAGCTTTATTAAAGAAATAAAAATGTGATTTGCATTATACATCTGCTGTTATTCTTTTCAGAAACTTATTATATCCAATATCGTTACAAATGGATATACAGCATTTTGGAATGAAATCCTTCATTTATTAGAAGTGCACTTATGGTGAATTGTTACTATTTTTTTTATAAATAAAATTCTAAATTGAAAACAAGAGACAGCTGGCCGTTCAGTACAATGTCTCGTGCATTCTAATATTGGTGCATCCCTAATACATATGTACCAATAGGTTGTGCTGAGTTTTAATTAATATGCATTACATGGCTGTTGGAGATAAGAGATTTTGTTCCAACAGTAATGTAATGCATATTAATTAAAACTCTTTACATTTTGCGATGATGAACGGACCAATGGAAATAGTATTTTTGGACTGTTTCCACTGGTCTGTTCATCATCACAAAAGACCAGCTGGTTTTAATCAGGTTTTAATCAGACAGTGACAATTTGCAGCAAATGAAAAACCTTTCTTGGCTTTTTGTATCTCTTTGGTAGATGCTACCAAGGATCAGTATGTTGAGGAGATGGAGACAGGAGCCTATGAGTCCAGAACCGATGAATCTCTCCTCATCCAGCAGAAGCCTGTGTCCAGAGGGAAGCTGGAGGCTCGTACAGACTCTGTTCGGGTACAGCACCGCTCCTCTGCCTCCACTTCACGCACTCTTTCATGTGCTCCATTCCCACTTTACTCAGCAGCAGACGTTCTATCTGTACCTGGAGCATGACTAATCATTAGTGCTTTGAGCTCTGTCTGTCTGTTATTATAAGATCTCAAAGATGTTAGTAGTCAGCATCTTTTGTAATGCGTGGTTTCAATCTAGAACATATTCTGCTTTGTTGCATTTCTTTGCCATGGAATCTAAAATAGAACAAGACAAAGTACTTTTAAAATTTTGCTGACATTTATTTGACTGCTGTGTCATCACTGAAGATGTGATTCAGTTTGATGAAAGAATTTTATCCCAGGGTTTATGCGTATGATAATTTCCAGGGGAATAATGCACCAACCCCTTCTGGACTTACGTTTCGAGATGGGAAGAAGCGAATTGACTATATCCTGGTGTATAAGAAGTCCAGCCCTCAGGTCGAGAAGAGATGCACTTTCGAGAGGAACCTGCGTGCAGAAGGACTGATGCTTGAGAAAGAGGTACAAACAGATATTTCTCAGCTCACATCTCCAAGCTATTTTGGCCTCCTGCTGTATTACTGTATTACTTAATAGAAGGTACTTTTTTGTAACACCAAGAATTCAGGTGGCTGTCGTTTTCATGAGAAAAAACGTTGACTTTTATGACTTAACGTTCGCTCAGTTGACAGTCGGTGAGTCAGAGAGTTATTTGTGTTTTGAGAGAGTGAAAAGTACAGTGGCCTCCAGAATTATTGGCAACCTTGGTATATTTCAGGGGAGAAGGCTGTGAAAAAACAGCTCAGTCTCAGACTGTGGGAGAAATCTAACCTTTTGGTGAAGGAATATTATTCCAATCAATCTCAAAAGCACAATAATTACTTTATGAATAAATTGTACAGTATTCCCACTTATCTTTATGAGTTTTTGGGAACTTGTAAGTGCTCTTCCATGGCTTTTTGTTGCACTAGGGTATAAATATGAGGTGATATGCAATCCCAACACGCTTAGTGATCCATCAGCATAGGGAAGATTAGAAAATACACAAATGATCCTTACAAATCAGGTATTGAGCTGTATAAGTTGGCTTAATGCCTGGAAATACACATATTCACTAGCAGGGCAATAATAAGAAACAAGAGTTGTGGTGAGCATGTGTGGTAAAAGGCACAACTGCATTTTATCAGTGCAGAAGATGGTTAAAAGAGAAAACTTTCTGCGTGGAACACAAAGTCAGTTGCATCCTGGAGTTACTATTAGATGTCACCTCCTTGCCAACAAACTACTGATACAGTTTACCAGAAGAAAAGATCTGCTGTCATCAAAGTGCAAATAGACCTGGAGTTCATTAAACATCACCAGGACTTTAACTGGAACCAGGTTCTTTATTTCTTTCAACAAGTTCCAGAGCACAAAAAGAAAATGCAGAGAAGAACCTAATGCTCACTGTGAAATATGGTGGTGGATCTGTTATTGTAGAGCTGTTTCCTTCCAAAGGCCTGAACATCTGTCTGCCTTGAGATTTAGATTGTGGAGATTCCAGCAGGACAGTGATTCAAGATCTAAGGCCATTGTGAGCAAAGACAACCATGGATTAAAGACTAGAGAGGTTTTGTGTGGAGAAATGGTTTCGGATCCCTGTATATATGTTCTCTCTATCATGTTCTGCCAATTCATTTTAATAATTTTTGATTGTTTGATGTTTCATATTCTTATTTTAGTGTAAGGTCAAGTTGACATTTTCAATAACCTTGGCATTATTTACAGCCTTTTTGTTCGTTTTTACTATATGCTAATAATTCTGGAGGGTGGATGCTGTTAAAGAGGGGATGTAATGGAAGTGGGATGTAGAAATGAATATCAGATTGGAAGAAGAGGTGAGGTAGGCAGCTGCTTCGGTACTTGCAGTGTGGTTCTCAGGGTTAAAGTAGCATAAGCCAGCAGTATACAAATAACAGTACAAAATAGATCTACCACAAAACAAGCTGTTATAAATATATTTAATAAGAACTCTCTCCATGCGTCTCAGCATCACTGCACAGAGTGAGCCTATAGTGTTGCTGACTGAACACACAGAGATGCACAACGAGTTCTTTTTCAGTGTGCTTAAAAGATTGACAGCGTGTTTGATGGTTGTTCTATAAAAAGTACATGAATCATTCTACCAAATTAGTTCAAAGTCAGAGTTGAAAACACATTTTGCACTTTTAACTGACTTAGACTAAAATCTTTTGGTTTAAATGATCTTATGCTGTAATTCTGTTTATTTTATTAAAATAAATTATTGAACATTTCATTTTGTCACTAATAATAACACTACCTGGTTTGGATGACTGTTTGGATGGTTTGGATGACTGTTTCGGTAGTGACAAATTTAGCTAATTTTGAGGATAACTCAACAACACTAGCCAGTACACAGCTAGCGGACACAGCTTTGAACAGTTGTACATACATAAAATCATAACAATTTTCACTGAAACACAGAAAAAGTTTACTTAATTGCAGAAATTATGTCTTGGTAGTGAAAATTGTTGAAAAAAAAAAGGTAGAAAAGAAAGGTCACACACTGATTTTCAGACTTTGGGACACTTTTACTATATATTTATCGCTGTTGTCAGAAGAAAACCTCGTATCTCCAGAATGGTAACGTTACAGCAGAAGGAAAAAAGCTACTTTTAAATTACTTTTAATGTAAGTTAATGAAACCAGACTTTTTTACAAGTCAATTTTGGTCTTTTCTTTAAGTCCATTCATTGTGAAATACGCAATATAAAGAACAACACGTATTTTCAAATTATGTCGAAAAAAAGTCAAAAATGGAGATACAAGGTTTTCTTCCAACATTAGCAATATATATATATATAGCTGTCGTTTAAGTATCTTATTTTCTACTCTGTTTGGTAGTGCTGTGTACCCATTCTTGACACTATATTTACTGGTGGAGAAACACCTGCAGAAAACTCGGTCTCCGCTTTAAACTGAATAGCGTGATGTACTTTCTCAAGTTGATGTTTAACTTACTTTAACTTCTCGTACTTTCTATCACAGTGTTTTCTGGGAAATGCAATTTGTTGTGCTGTGTTTAATAATTATTGCAGGGCATTTTCCACTATTGTGTTTCTGGTAATTAAAAATGTTGTAAAGTGTTTCAGAACAGAATGCAGAGCTCAACATTGCTGGTCCTGAACTAATAAGATGGCAGAGGGAAAAGTGCAGGTCGTCAGAGCCTCATTTAGATCAGATCTGAGCCAGATAACAAACAAGCGCAGGGATTCCACTTGACTGCTTTCTGATTAAAAATCAGCATTACACCCAGAGCCTCTTCCTGTTCTGCAGAGAGACTCCGTACTGAGAGAGAGTGTGTGTGTGAGTGTGTGTGTGTGTGTGTGTTTGTCCAAGAGACTGAAGTACAGAAATGGAGAGATATCCAGAGAGTGGCAGAGAGCGAAAAGGAAAGATGGTGAGATATGCATCAATTGAGTGAAAAGCAGCAGGGATCTGTTTGGGGGTCTGGAAGGAAAGAGAGAGTAGAATCTTATTTTTAGGAGTTAGAGTGGAAAGGGAAGTGAATTAACTGCTGCAAACTGTGCTATTTTTCCAGAAGGAGTTGGGAATATGGGACAGCCATCTACTTCACAAAATATTCATGCTCACGCTTCAGAAAGCTTTTTCACTTCTCTTGAATTTGAAGTCGTCATGGGTTCGCTGTAAATCAGCACTGCTCTCAGAACAGCTGCCAGTTATAGTGGAAATAACTTTTGTCATTATAACAGAGAACAGAAGGACTGATCTGTGGTAATTATGGTGCAGGTCAGCAGCTGAGTCCTGTGTGATGCATGTTAAATAAACTGTATCCCTCCATCTCTTTCTGTTTCTCTGTTTCAGCCCTCTCTGACCAACAATGACATCATGTTTGTGAAGATACATGCTCCGTGGGACACGTTATGTAAATATGCAGAGCAAATGAACATCAGAATGCCTTTCAGGTACTGGTCAGTGGTCTTGGATATAATCATTCTATCTGTGTGTGTGTTTTTTTTGTCTTTCTCCTTTTTATTTCTCTCTTAATTCTTTTTCTCTCTTTCTCTCTCTTTTCCTCTGTTTTCTCTCTCACTCTTTTGTCTCTCTTCTCTCACTCTCTCTCTCTCTCTCTCTCTCTCTCTCTCTCTCTCTCTCTCCCCCTCCCTTACCCACTCATACATTTACATGAATACATTGATGAGCATAGTCACCAAGTAATTCAGTAAAAACAATAACAAAACAATTTACCTTAGCATCATCCAGACACACAGCCCTCAACACACTTACACCTGTCATACTCACTGACTCACTGACTCAACCATAATGCCTTATCTTTGTTGGTTATAGTACTATATATACATAGTAAATGTGCTTTTTGTTTGTGTTCTCTCTAAAACTGTTTAAAAAGATGCAATCAAACGTAGAACATGATCATTTTCATTTAATTTAAAGCAGACTTTTTTCTGGCTTGTAGGAAAAAGTGCTACTTCTCAGACTGGAAGAAGAAAACCATGGGCAGGTAGGTCTAAAAGGCTTTTAAACCCTGCAGCTGCCTTTTAGTTATTAAATGTTTATTCTGTATCACTTATTCATCTTGTGTATACTTAAAAAAGCTGGTTGTTCAAGGGTTCTTTAGTGAAGAAAATGGTTCTATATAGGCAGAACAAGTTTATTTGTATATCACCTTTCATACATTGTGGTCATTCAAATAATGAAATACAAAGATAATTCAAGTTATAATTTAAAAAGTAACAAATTAAAGGAGAATGGATCCTTCTATTGTTTGAGGCTTCACATTACATCTATAGAAGAACCTTTTTTGTGCTATACAGAACCCTTTTCAAAAAGGTTCTATGTAGAACCACCTGCAGCACAATCTGAAGAATCATTTTCTTTACTAAAGAACCCTTGAAGAATCTTTTTTGTAGAGTATATTATACACAGATCCATAAGTAGACATTATGATTCTCTATATGCAGAGCAACACTGCCTATTGACTGTGGAGAGATTAGTTCAAAGGTCTTTAGGTCAGATCATGACTAAGTATGGGGTCTCTAAGGACCGGATCTCCTCAGAGTTAATCAGCCTCGTTTTAAAATGGATTAGAAGAGACTGAAACCCTGGAGGTCACACAGAGAGTCTTTAGAAAACATTGTTCATTATAAGCACATCTGATGGGCTTAGTTAAATACTGTTTAGAGTCGATAGAAGGAGAACATATTCCTGTATTTCTCTACTTTTGTTTTAGAGACTGTAGACTGTAATTCTTCAGATGCTTTCCAGTCAGTGGTGTTTGTCTGAGAATCTTTGAAGTTCTCAAAGAGTTATTTTAGACGTCCAGTACCCAAAGGAACAGTAAGACGCTCTCACAGCTCTTAAAGATGGATAGAAATATCCTCCATTTACTTTTGCAGAGTCAGTGAATTTTGTCACACTAGTGAGCTCTGGAGTTCATTTAAAATCCCTTTTGACGATAAATTTACATTTTTTCCTCTATTTCTCGGCCTTTCTTCAAAACCATTTCTTTTACCACTCTCTGATTCTCTTTCCATTCTCTTTCTCTCTCTTTCTCATTCTGCTTCTCACTGCTTTGCTCCCTTCCTCAATCTCTCTCCCATTTGCTCTCTAGTCGGTTTCATTTGAGATGTCGTCAGGTAAAGAGCTGGCTGCCGAGGAACCCAATGAAGCTGGATAAAGAGGCGTTACCTGATCTGGAGGAGACAGACTGCTACACCGCCCCTTTCAGCCGTGCCAGAATGCATCAGTGAGTCTCTCCTACATCATTCACACTAATATCCTAACATCGATTGATCATAACTGCCACTAAACCTTCTGTTACTCTTTCATGCTGCCTTTGTGTCCCTGGAAAACAAGTTTAGAGTTTCAACATGAACAGTTTGTAAAGAACATTATAATGATTGCATTGTCATTTTTGACATTGAAACAAACAGAATGTAAAAAGAACATATTATGTAAATAACTATGTAATTAAATGTGCAAAAGTCAGAGGCCACCCTTCATGTATTTAATTTCCAGTCAAAGCATCCATTAAGTACAAATGATTTAATTCCCAGGTGATATTTCTGAGGAGATTAGATGTAAGATAATCCACTTGCTCAAGAAAGGGGAAAATCAAAGCAAAACAAGTTGAAGAAGCAGGCGTTTCCAAAACTGGAGTTCAAAAAATATTTAAAAGATACAGCAAAATGGAGCTCCTAACAACCGTGCAAGAACTGGTAGACCACCAAAACTGTCACCATCAGAAAAACTGTACTTATAGCTTTCGTCTTTGAGAGACACAAGAAAACAGTGGACAAACAAAATCATGGGTGCACACCAACTTCAGCGAAGGAAAGGCTTGTTAATTAGCTATTTAGTTGGTTCAGTGTGTTGGGAGCAGGGAAACCACTATGTGCATGGTAGGTGTAAAGAAACCGCCAAATTGAGCTGGACACCAGCCCTCCAGGACTCAAGTTGTGCACCCCTGCACTAAATACTGAAAAATTTGAAAATATATTTAGTTGTTGTGACTTATGTGTAATTTACTGTTAAATATTTTGCACAGTACTCTAGTTTCCAAACAGTATGAGCACTTTATTCTGAAGCTGCAATGACATCATTGTTATGATGCTTCATGGTGTGTTTGTAGTTCTGTCTATTTTTGGCTTTGAATCACTTCACACTGACGCAGCCTGATAAGAGGGCAGGATGTGTAGACTGTGGACCTGGGTTAGAGAGAGTTGGTAAAGTCAGTGTTTGTGTTTGGTGCAGGAGTATTTTGAGGGCTGAGAGATTTTTGTGTGCGTGGTTGTGTTTTCTGGGAATCGGTTGAGTCAGGCCAGCACACGCTAATCTCTTTGGCACAGACAGGGAGTGATGGGGTGGTAAACACACACAAAAAATGGCAAAAAAAAACACAGAGTGGCATCCTGAGCTAACCTCGCTATATTTACACTGCTGTCAACCTCATACTGTGGAACAAACGAGACAGATTTTGTGAGTTAGTGTGCATGAGTGTGTGTGTGTGTGTTGTGTTGTACTTTTTTAATTTCCAAATATTGCAAAAATTCTGACATTTGTGATATACCGCGCAAAAGTCAGATATAAACTTTTATTTAATTAATTTTCAATCAAAATAGCTATTAAGTTTTTCAACGTTAAATAAAAAAAGCAGAAATGCATATATTTAACAGAAGCCTCGGCAACTAAACACAATATGACATATATATCACAGTATTTGGTATGTCTACCCTTTATCCTTATTACAGCATCCATTCTTTTCAGGAGAGCTTCTTGACAGCTACACATCCTTTCAGACTCATAGTGTTGAATTGTCTTCTCATCACAGTGGACAGAAAGAACAAATTTTTTATCAGATCTGATGCAAGAGTAGAGTTTGATTTTGTCCTCTCTCTAAAAGATGAAAGCTTAAAGTGCTGTGTGTGTGTGTGTGTGTGTGTGTGTGTGTGTGTGTGTGTGTTTGAGCATGACAGGTAGAAGATGAGAAATATTATGAAATGGGATCTTGCTGTATTCAATATTGTACTCAGTCTCTCTCTCTCTCTGTCTCTATCTCTGTCTCTCTCTTTGTGGTAGCAGGTAGACTAAGTGATTTACTAAATACACTGTCTGACGAGTGCCCCCTTAACCTTTAATCTTTAAGTGTTTTATTTACATTGATGTATCACGTGCTATGCATGTCTACGAAAGAGGAAGAAGAAATCCCAGCTTTTCTCTCTGTTTTTGTTTGATCCTCCTTTTTTAATGGATTAGGTCAGGAACCATTCTGAGTGGGCATTTCTGATAAATGTACATAGTAACATTTACATAATATCATTAGGATATATTTTCAGTAATTTCATGGCTATAGCAGAGCCCCGCCATCAGGATGCTCTGTGCAGTAGTCAATGGATTGAGGGCATTTCTGAGCAGAATCTCCACAATAGCTTGGTTTTTGGCTGAAAATTTTCAAGAGGTGAGCTTATATTCTTTTCCTTCTGTTATAGTTTTACCATCAACAACAGGGATTCCTTCTTCTCCAACTCCACCAGAAGCAGAATAGTACACCACGTTCTACAGCGTACCAAGTATGAAGACGGCAAGTCCAAAATGGGTAAGCACCTAGAGATAATCTCCCCCGAGGCCTGTCCATCAAACATCTTTTCCAGTCTATTCATTAGCCCACACTGCAGTATTTTCTAGTTCGCTGTGTCAGCCGGCCTTTTACTGAGCCTGCAGTCTGTATTCATTTCTTCACATTTGTTACAGTCGTTTGTTCTGATGTTTTTATGGCTTTTGAATGAGGAAACGTGTCATGTAGCCAGAGCTGTGTTGAAGTTATTGATGAACTCCATGTGCATTTGTTGTCTGTTATTTGTTGGCTAGTACAGTGATTTTTGTTTAGCAGTTCACATACAGTGCTGCACTAAATCCAATTAAACAGGACTAATTATGCTCTCTTTGTAATGAAACATGCAGTTGATCAGTGTTCTTTAAGGACTGACAATATCCACAATATGTTTAAAAATTCACAATATGATGGAATATGGTCATATTGCCCAACCCTTAGATACTGGTATTTTTTGCTAGCTTGGGATATTTTCCAGATTATTACAGCTGAGACAAACTGTATTCGTTCATAGGTGTTATTGTAGAAAACTAGGCAATGTTTATGTCTGACAGTAACCAGTACATATACAATAATAATAACAATAACAGTTTTAAATATTGATTTTGGGTGGTTGAATAGTGGTTGTTTTTAAATTGATGGCTCATACTGTGCACTTTTTCTTGGCATGGCTGAGTTCCCACCATGCCATCCTCATTTTCCTCATATTTTAAAACACCTCCCACACTCCGCTTTTCATTTTGGCTTTCTTATCTGTTTGCTTCTGACATGTTTTTCTGATTAAAATCGGTCCTTGGACAGCACTGAGGGATTTTCATGTTAATATTTTAATGCCAGTAACCCCCCTACTCAGCTCTAGACTAGATCAGATTGGCCAAAGAACTATAAATCCTTCGCAAATCCCCACCCTCAAATGCACCATGCTAGTTCCACACAATACATACTTACTATCAGTCATGGCAGGGCCTTTTAAAGGAGACCTCAGAATGACCACAAGAAATGTGGATTTTTGTTGTTGTTATTGAATGACTATTTGGTCAGCACTCAAATCTGACAGTATAGTAAATCACATTCTTCACAGTGAATTTAGTAGTGCTATTTCTTTTTTCCTATCACTTAACCCCTGTCTTTTTCTGTATTTCATCTTCTTTATCAATATTCTGTCTGATTTATCTGTAATGAATTTTGTATGACCCTTAGCTCTCCACTTGAGATCCATTAATTACAAATACATCTGTACATCTTTTAATGACATATTAACATATGTAAAGTTTTTTTCAAACCTGAGAAGAGTGTGTTCAGTTCTAATTAAGTCCTTACTAAAAAAAAGCCCCTCTGTAGACTCTAGCCTGTCCCTCCAGTGGTCTGTAGTTCCACTTTTTCCCTTGAGTCTCTGCATGTCTCTGCTGGTCACACGCTGTCCGTTTTTCCACAGCTCCTCCGCTGTGTTGTCTGTCTCTGCTTAATTATTATGGCCAGCATGAGCGGCTGCTGATTGGCCAATCAGGCAGTACATGGGAAGGTGCGTACACTGTGTCTCTGTGCTCCCTGTGCACCTGAGTACCCCATCAAAATACTCCCACTTCCACCAAAACCCTCTCTTCTAGGGCAACTAATATCCAAGAGTCAGGATAGGACAATGCACGCAAATGTTTGTGCCTACTTTTTATGATTCCAGCTGAGGAAAATAAATAACTGAGGTGTGGAAAGCAGAATGTAATTTAGATCAATACAAGAAAAATAAAAATGTAAGTGAAAAATAGAAAAAAAGGGAAAATAGAAAAAGCAAGAGTGAAAATACTCTAGCGTTGCCTCTGTTCCACAGTGCTTCCCCTACTTTACTGTGCATATTTTCATGTCTTTATGTTTTGTTTTTCATGCTTTTATGTTCTCTTTGTTTGTATTAACTATTGATTAACATAGAAATATGTATTGATCAGGAACAGGAGTGCATGTATTTAAAGAAATGAAAGGGTTCTAATGATTATATATAATATTAGATATTTGTTTAAAGAAAACTGAGCAGCATCAGGTCAGGGTTTCAATTGGTACCACTTTACATTGAGACTGTCCTTTTAAATGGTTTACGAATGATGTAGAATTAGTTTATTAATTGTTGTTAAGTTTTAAACACCATAAAATCATTAATAACAGTTATAACCCATAAATAAAAAGGGAAACAGGTTAGTAACTGTGCCACACCTGGAGTACTGTCCTATAGGAGTTGCCACACAACGCCAAGGACTTAACAAATAACTGCTGAAGCTGACAGGTTTAGCACTGCCTGATAGAGATGACAAAGTAAAATACGTAACTAGCAAGGTTTATTGTAAAAAATGTATGTGGGCTTACTGTTTGGCAGGACACTGTTGCCCTTTTTGTTTATCCTCATTCATGATTTTTAAGTATTTATGACCTGAATAATAACTATTAATGAACTCATTGAGCTATTCATAATCCCTTTATAAAGGCAATCTCATTGTAAAGTGGTATGCTTAGATTGGACTGATATTTCAAATGGATATTTGATTATGTATTTATTATAATCTGGAATTTTCTTATAATCTGAGGTATGACGCTGGAATGCTGTGCTGAAATGTCTGCATTTTAGTTATTTTACTGCATTTGTAACCCTCTACATATGAATATATTTCTCTATAAGTCCCAATTTCTAGGGTGTGTATCAGCGTGAGTTTTAGCACTGGTGAATTTGTACATGAAAAATCATTGAGTACTGGAGAGACACTATACTATACTGTTTTCTCTGCTTTAAGACATAAGGCACCAAATCCAGCTCATAAGCTAATTATCAAGCCCTTCGTTACAGAAAACACTAAACTCTGCAGTGCAATGGTTTTCCAAGGTTGGAATTTAATAATCATGCCTTACGTGTTCTCCATTCTAATGTGTTTCCCGGTTTTGAGCATGGGTAGTGTATAAACAAGGTAAACACGGTTGGTATTCCCAAAGACAGTGATACTCAGCTGTATCTGTGCAGGGCTGCAGTGTCTGTAGGTATTTGTTCCAGTCATGTAACACCACACCTGATTTTACTGATTAAGCTCTCTGCTTTGGTAAGGAGAAGAGCTCATTAGTGAAATGAGGTGCTGTGCAGCACTGGATCAAATATCACTAGATGCTGAATGCCTTGCTGAGTCTCAGGGCTGTATCAAATATGATGATTTCCTGTACTATGTATAATATATAATACAGTTCTGTTTGTAGACTTGACTAGCTGTGACAGTACAGTACAGTACCATTCAAAATTTTAGATACACCTACTCTTAGAAGGGCTTTCCCTTCTTTTACTGTTCATATTTACATATTTTAGAATAATAGTGAAGACATCAGAACAATTAAATAACACATGGAATTGATCAGTGATCATACATTGATATATTGACAAGGGTGACAAATACAATAATACAACAGATTCACAGAAAATGCATTAATATGAAATTAAAATTACACAGTAGATGAAACAGACATAAGTACAACCCCATTTTCAAAAAAGTTGGGATGCTGTGCAGAATGTAAATAAAAATAGAATGCAATGATATACAAATCATGTAAACCATATTTTAAAGGAAAATACTACAACACATCAAATGTTGAAACTGAGAAATGTTATTGTTTTTTGAAAAATAAATGCCCATTTGATGCCAACAACACGTTAAAAAAAAGTTAGGACAGAGGCATGTTTACCACTGTGTTTCATCACCTCTTCTTTTAACAACACTCTGCAAGCATTTGGGAACTGAGGAGGCCAATTGCTGTAGTTTTGAAAGTGAAATATCTTCCCATTCTTGTTTGATATAGGATTTCAGCTGCTCAGTTCGGGGTCTCCTTTGTTGTATTTTTCATTTCATAATGTGCCAAATGTTTTCAGTGGTGACAGGTCAGGACTGCAGGCAGGTCAGTTTAGTGCCTGGACTCTTTAAATACAGAGCAATGCTGCTGTTACACATGCAGAATGTGGTTTGACATTGCCTTGCTGAAATAATCAAGGCCTTCCCTGAAAAAGATGTTGTCTGGATGGTAGCATATATTGCCAAAACATGTATATATCGTTCAACATTACTGGTGCCTACACAGATGTGCCAGTCACCCATGCCATGTGCACTAATACACCCCTACACCATCATGAATACTGGCTTTTGAACTGTGCACTGATAACAAGCTGAGTCGTCTTTAGCCCGGAGGACACAGTGTCCATGAACCCCATAAGTTTTTTAAAAAATAAAATGTAGAATGGTACCTCTCAATATTTCTTATTGAACAAACTGTGGTATGTTTTAGATCCTTAAAAGAACTGCTCTCCTCCTTCTGTACCTTGGTGACGTTTTACACTCTTGACATTCTCTCAAATAGCTCCATGAGAAACCACCTGGGATGATTTTCCAACAGGCATGAAAAAGCTCCTTATATGCTGAGATCTTGTTGACTGAAGAAAACTCTTGTTGAGGGGACTTTAAAGAAAAATGCTCACAATTACGAGCAGTTGAGAGTCTGTCTTTACAATTATGGAAAACATTCAATCAGATGTTTTAAATCTTTTGACTGTTACTGTAGATGCCAGAATAAAGACTAAATTCCTGTCTCTCTGTTATAAGGTATCAATCGGTTGCTTGGCAATGGCACCTATGAGGCTGCTTTTCCCCCTCATGAGGTGAGCTCATCATCACTTTAGCATGGTGCTATTCTTACACACTACCTTTTTCTGTTCTAATGTGCTGCTGTTATCCCTTTATGCACACCTTATTCCACACACTGTTCTGCTTCAGGGCAGCTACAAGAGCAGGCACCCGATAAAGACCCACGGGCCTCAGAACCACAGACACCTGCTCTATGAGAGATGGGCTCGCTGGGGAATCTGGTACAAGTACCAGCCCCTGGACCTTATACGGTGAATAATACCCACCTCCACTACCACCATTATCACCACATTTAATTAACAGTCATAAAACTTTGTTGAAGTGAAAATTGAATTCAGTTGTGTCATATAAACACACTTAAATGCAGTCTAAGCCCTGTTTAAACAGTCTACTAGAATTATTGAGTACATTCTCTTCACTCATAAACTGTCTTTAAACTCTCAAAAGTCATCAGAGGTGGTGAACTAAACTAAGAACCCATATTGAATATTTTTCTTGTGTTTTTCACCCACTTATGACTTATGTGATGATTTCAAGACCATTTTCCACACTCTTTTTGTCTTAAATCAGGCTGTTTTTGTTACTGTGCATTTAAGACAAATCTATGTAAATGACCTTTGTTCTGATTGGTTCCCTTGTACTGTGCCTCATTCTAAAAGCAGTTCAGGCTGAAACATTTCTTATAACTTCAGTGTAAATGAGAAGAGTACAGTCCATTTACACATAAATGATCTCTCTCTTTAAAAATAGTGTCTGAAAGAGAAAATTAAAGAAAAGGTTAAATTCACATAAAAACAATTTGGGCCCCTTTTTAAAGAGTTTGGTTATAGAGTTCATTCTACATATAAACCATCTTTAAAACCCTAGAGAATCATCAGAAATGGTGTGCCTCTACCGGTTTAGTTCTAATTGGATGAGTATTAGATTTATCCCAAAAGCAGTTAAGATGAGGTTGGCTGAATTAGGTTTCACACTTATATTACAAACAAACTGCTTTAACTTCTTGTTTGTCTGTTTGGAGCTTTTCTCGAGACTCTTTGTTTTCAAGAGGCTTAGCATGCCTACTTGGCTCCAACCTTCTGTCAAATCCTATAAGGAAGCCTTGGGCAACTGCAGCGGAGAAGAACTCTCTTCTGACTCTCATTGTCTGTGTGTGTGGGGGTGTGTGCGTTTATGTGTCTTTACTGACTTTAGCTGGTCAGTATAAAGCAGAGGTTTCCGACAGTGCTTGTCTGCTCTTTTAGTGTGTGTGTGTGTGTGTGTGTGTGTATGTGTTTGTATGTGTCACTGGAGTCAGCTCACCTTGCTTTAGACCTCTGAGCTGAAAATCTGGGCCAGATTGAAAAATCATGCCTGCTGATCTACACACTCAGCAGTTCTGGAGATTTTCTTCTAGTGTTTCCTCCAGTGGAAGTCACCCGAAGTTGCCCATATTACATAATCCTCCTGACCTCATATGCTTCAAAAGTTTCACTATAGAGAACCACAAGACTCTGACTTTTATCTCTGTCTCTCTTTCTCTCTCTCACTCAGGCGGTACTTTGGGGAGAAGATAGGTCTGTATTTTGCGTGGCTAGGCTGGTACACAGGCATGTTGATCCCAGCAGCACTGGTTGGTCTTTTTGTCTTCCTTTATGGCCTTTTCACCATGGACTCCAGCCAAGTCAGGTCAGGCTCACAAGACCCCCTCATTAATCCCTCCATTTATTGGGAAGCAACCATTCAACCCTCTTTCATGCAAACTATTAACCGAAAACATATTGTGTTACGAGCAAACTCTGCATTTGTGCCCTTGACACACCAAGCCGACATTAAAGAACTAGCACAATCCAAGGCTGACCAGTGATCACCTCCTGTCAGCTCCCCATCATCTCTCATCTGTGAAAATCACAGCAGTGCCACACAGCAAAGCCTACAGCTCATAGCCACAAGACATGTTTTTAATGTGCCTACTTTTGCAGCAAAATAGTGTCCAGTCTTATCTGTAAAGGGCTGGTTAGGCCACAAGTTTTAATTCCAACAAAGCAGAGGCACATCAATCTATCAGTTGATTGTAGACTGATACCAACTAATTTAACAAGTGGAATCAGATGTGCTTAAGTTAAGTTTTAAAGTTATTTAAGAATTTCTTTGAAGCATTAAGTAGCTAGCATGTTTGCTGATGGGTATACCACTTTGCTGCGTGTCGGTCTGCATTTGTCATAGTACTATTTTCAGAATCTGCCCCTACATATCACACAGAAATAGTAGTGTTGATATTTTGCATGTCAGTCACATGGCTCATTTGGGTCAGTGCAATCCACTGCAGATGCAAAATGTTATAAGAGCCCATGAATTTATGATGATTAAATATATTGCCAGCCCATACCATGCCACCATATTCAAAATAATTAACCCCCTCCCAACACCAGAACTGTGCATAAATATTTATCTATCTAAATCTATCTTTGCAGGAAAAATAGGTTACTGCATATTAATTAACTAACTAACACTGTTCAAAGTGTGTATAAACAAGAAACATTTAGTTATTTTTCAGATTTTTTATTTTTTTTTTGTCGGAATATGGGTGCATCCAAAGACGCTTGTGCCTTCGTCAGAAGTCTAGCTTGCAAGTCTGAACAGCTCCACAGATAGCTACTGGCTTACAGGCTAAGTAAAGAATATGTTATTTAAATGTTTTACAGTGTTCAAATGTTTATTACCCTAAACCTAATGTGAGAAAGTGAAAGTATACCAGTTCATTTCTTGTGCGCTGATTCATTTGGCTGAACAGCTAACCAGAATGCCCTCTCTCATTGGCGAGCGCAGTGCTCAACATGCTCAAACAGCCAAAATAGCGCTGACAAGGACTGACTAAAGCCAGCAGTGCAGGACACGTTGCAAAATCTTTGGGAAACACTCAGCTTGGTGTGTCAGGGTCCTTACAGAGGTCAGATTTTCCTCTCAGAAATCTATCAGTCAGATCTTTATTTTATACACCTTTCATACAAAGAACTGTAATTCTGAGTGCTTTAGAGATAAACAAGCCATGGACCCAGAGAAGCTAAGAGAGTAAGAAGAACAAGAGCATAAAATACATACAGTGGTAGTGGTTACAAATAAAATAAAATAGACTGTCTGACTTCTTGTCTTGGTTGCACTCTCTGTTTATGTGCAGTAAAGAGATTTGTGAGGCCAACACTACCATCATGTGCCCCATGTGTGAAGTCAACTGCAGCGCCTGGAAATTGAGTGACAGCTGTGTCTATGCAAAGGTACACACAACACCATCTGTTAATCACTTAAAGCACCTTTGCAGTACAAACCTAAAGTACAAACATAATAACATTAATCTAAAAAGTATGTATACTTCATGTATACTGCATGTATACTATGTATAATTTCAGGCTCTGGTTAATTTTTGAATGCTGCTTTTTTATGAATACTGTTTCTATCCTATTTATATTAGGGAGACCTGAAAACCACTGCGCATCTCTTTTGCATTATATATACACAGACTTTCATCTTGCGTTGAGCAGGAGAAAGCCGTTGGAATGTGCGACTTTAAACAATCTAATCCGATGTATTTAAAATTCTTGTATCATCAAAATCTCACAAAAAAGACTGTCTAATTAAAGTATGGAGATAAAAAATAAACGGTCTAGACTTCAGTTCTCAATGTGCAGATCTAATCTAAGGAGTAATCTGAGGAGAAATAATTATTGTTTCGTTAGTTTCAAACAACAAATTACTTTCTTGATGAGCCTCCAGTGTCTTGAGTTTTCATCGTTATGATTTATTCCAAAATCATCTTTGTATTTTCATTAACATCCAGGTGACTCATCTTTTTGATAATGGAGGTACAGTTTTCTTTGCCATCTTCATGGCAATCTGGGGTGAGTTTAATTCTCTCTTTCTGTGTTTCATTCGTTCACTGTTCCTTTACTCAGTTATATAAAGGAAAGTCTTTCTGTAAATTAAGTCATTTTAAGCTAGTGTAGTGGGAATGAAATTTTACAGTGCTGTAGTTCCACGGTGATATTGATTCAGAAGCCCAAGAGACCCCAGTACAATCAGCCACCGCTTTGTCCTACTGTATAATAAGTGGCCGGGTGCGCTTACTCCAACATTTATTTATTAATTTCTTCATTGTTGATTCAGGTAGGTCATGCTTTACAGCGAGATTTTACTATTATTTTTTTTACAAGTTTTACATGAGGAAGAACACAAAAGCCTTATGTTGGAAATCATTATAAGAGGCCTGGAAAAGATTATGAAATGCCCTCATGATAGATTCTGCTTTTGGTTCAGCTCTCCTCACAGCCAGAAGCTTTCATTTGAGAGAGTGATTAAGCTTTGGTTACTAATCACACAGATTATAAACGTAAATCACCTCTTGTATAAACGGATAAACCACCAAATAGATCAATGTCAAAGTGTCCTTCTCTCATTGTGCATTAGCATCAGATAATTGTGTACGCCGCATAAAGTGTAATTGACTGGCTAATGCTAATGAAACGCTTCCCGGGAGAGGAGAGGGATCTCAGTCAGAGGGGAAAAAACAACCTGAGGTGTCAGGAGGCTGTCAGTCACAGGCTGTATGTGCATCAGAGGAGAACCTTAGGCATCCCTGCTGCACCCCCCTACTGCAGGACATCCTGTACTACTCTGTCTCTCGCTCTCTTTCTCACTCCGTCTCTCAGTCTTTGCTGATGAGAGTGAACTTAAGCCCTGTGGGCGCAGCACTGCAGTGAGCATGGCCTGGATCTGTCTCTAACATCAGCCAGTAATCATCACCTCTGCTCCACATTGCATTTGTGTGGACGTGTGTATGTGTCTATGTGCAGAAGTGCATGAAGATGAATGAATATTAAGGTACATTCTATACACAGAAACAGCTCTTTTGCTGCACAATGTGGAAACCAGGTCAGATCCCAGGCCACTCCACAGACAAGCATCAGGCCACCTTGAAACCAAACATACACGACATGTGGGCACTTCAGGAACACCACAGTATTATTCCCAGGATGGTTTAAAACAAGCACTACAGAAACAAATCTAATTTCTGCTTCCTGTCCCAGAACAAACACTCTGTAGCACTGTAAACGGTTAAGATGCTACAGATTTTTGTTTCCCAATCCTATTCCTGGAGTAATCCCTGCACATTTTAGTGTTTTCCCTGCTCATACCCACCTGATCCTACTAATTAATGATCCATTTATGAGTTCAAATGGATCAATGGAGGATGTGTTATAGAAGAGAAATAGCTGAAATGTGCAGGGCAGCACACTGCTATAGATTACATAAGCCATATACTATGTTTTATCTTTTTTCTCTGAGGTCCTCCTAGAATATTTGTGTGGTTTTATTTACCAGAATCATAATTCATTTTTTATGTGATCATTTTCCAGCCCCTCTTTATCTCTTCAAAGTAAACTGGCCATTTTTGTTGCTGTGCCTTTAAGATTGATGTTATGTAAATGAGCTCTGTTCTGTTTGGCTGCACTGTGTTTAACCTCATTCAAAAAACAGGCCAGCTGAAACACTCCTTCTAGCTTTGCATATGTGGGTGGGGCTAAACTGCTGTAGGCTGAGAATGCGGGTATATGCAAATATGTTCATCTTCATGACGTCATGAATACAGTGAACTCAAAACAGGCCGTTTTGGCAGCTTAGTGTCCATATATGGACTGCATGATCTGGGAGTTAATGATACATTTTGAAACTTTAACAGTGTTTATATACAACATCAACAACTCTATTGGATTTTTCATTTTGTGAGCCCATTGAAATGTGTACTGTATGCAAGTTAATTTAGGGAATGAGGCAGAATTTCAAAATGTCTTCTGTAGAAAAGTTTTTGTCTTTCTGACTCGGGCTTTTAAGGCCCGACTAAAGGAGCATGCACAGGCTGAACCTCTCCTACCACAGAAATCAGTCTAAAAATGGATGGTTTCTAAACACCTTAAACCAGACGTCAGATGCTTTTTTCATATCTGTCAGTGAATATCTATCAGGGATCCTGTGAAGATACCCATCCTATCTGGGAGAGACTGAGAAAAAGAAGGAGACAGCCTTAGGAAGACCTTTAGAAGAGCTACAAAGACAGCTTTTCCTCTCTCTCTCTCTCTCTCTCTCTCTCTCTCTCTCTCTCTCTCTCTCTCTCTCTCTCTCTCCCTCTCTTTAAACAAAAGTGGGTCAAGCTATATTAAACTGCACTTTCAACATCGAGTGAGTGCTACACAGCCCACATAGATCTTGTGGCTGTTATGAATTTGTTCGGAGAGCATTACATTTAATTTTGCAATGTTAAGCCCAAGTGTTACTTAGATCAGTAGATGGATCGACGTTTACTGGAAAACAGTGCAGAACATGCCTTGAAACACCATGTCATCTTCTTCCTCTTCTCATTAAGTGAGAAATACATCTTTATGACAGAATTGAGTGAAATTACAGGCATATGTTACCAGTGCCCTCATATTGAAAATACAGCTTTCGTGGCAATCTGTGGATCACTCTTCTGCCTTGTGCTCTTATAGCCACTGTCTTCCTTGAATTCTGGAAGAGAAGAAGGGCGGAGCTTACGTACGACTGGGATTTGATTGACTGGGAGGAGGAAGAGGTGAGGCTCATCTTGAAATAGAAGCCCAACACAACTGTCAGCTGAGACTAATCTTTTGCTTTATTCACAAGTGCTTCAGCATGATTTACAAAAGCTAAACCTATGGAAAAAAAAGCATTTTCTCTTTGTCTTTTTGTCCACATTACTAAAAGACATTTAGGAATAAACATGAGCTTTGCTGACCCCACTGAAAATAGCCATTAGACTGTAAATAACTGAAGACAGCGTTTGGCCAATATCTGTGCTGTTTGTGTGTTTCTTTTAGTGTAAATCCTGTGTCATGGTGTGTTCTGTGAGTGTGCCTCCTATCGTTCTCATGTCGTGTTTGGTGCATGCTGTGCTTTCTGCTGTAGATTCTATGCATAAATCATTTACAGCCATAGCATGAAATCTTTGAAGATGTGTTGGCTATTGTTTCATGCCTTGGTGCCTTTTGAGCTTTAAAGGTAGTCTCACCAAGAACATTATCGTACATAACACACCCACATCGTCTGGACATCAGCAACGTCAGAATTCAGACTCATCAACACTGTTCCCCTCAGTACAGACCCACCGTGGGTCTCGGTGTTGCTGTCTCCTGCCATTTGCAATTCTAGTGTTGTTGGTGTCTTTAAAAATGTGTTTGCTATGTTTGACGGTCATATTGCTGAATCTACCTTTAAGCAAAACTTTTATCCCTTAGCCAATAGAAGCAGATAGGCCGCTTATACAAATGTCATCCAGTCCATATGAAAGAGCCTCCATAATGTCATCATCTGCACTGCAGTCTTCCTGGGACAGGTTACCAAACCCAGTGAAAACAAACGATGATGCCATACGTCTGTATGTAGATTAGTAAAGCAAAATGCATTCATCCATTGAGGAGGATAAACTGAAGTATGAATGCATGCATGTGTCGATAAGGAGGAACTGCGGCCTCAGTTTGAAGCAAAGTACTCGCGGAAGGAGAGGGTGAACCCCATCTCAGGCAAACCAGAGCCTTTCCAGCCCTTCACGGACAAACTCAGCCGCCTCATGGTCTCTGTGTCCGGAATCTTCTTCATGGTAGGTCACAGTGTCCAGTCTAATTAATTTGCCTTCCCATTCTCTTCCACCCATCCAGTTAAAGTAATTCCTTATGCCCTCCTACATTGCACCAGTTTTATACAGAGCCTCTGCATTTAGAACTAGAAAGTTATATAACATCCTAAAATCTAGCACACTGTATTACATTATTCCACTCTGCACCTTCCACTACTTTTCCTAGTTCCACCATACAGTGCAAGAAGATCCTCCAACAATGCTGAAATGCCACAGATTACTGTCTCCCCCTGGTGGCTCTTATGTGTCAGTGCATGAGGCTGCTAGAAAGATAGTGTGGCCTAAAGTAGCTTAGCCATGTCAACAGTTATGTTTAGCAAATCATTACTGTTGTCTCAAAACTTTGTAACTTTTATTATTATTTGAAAGCACTGCACCAATAGAGATGCTACATAATTACTTGGGATAAACATTACAATTAACAATTCTTTGTTGTTCTCCTATAAAGTTACCATTCTAAAGATGCAAGCTTTTGTTAGCATGTATCAACCCAGAATGTATCCTCTATCATCTTTTTTTCCTTTAGTGTTCTCATGTTAATGGAAAACTCCCCTGCTTCAATCTCTCTCTCTCCATTTCAGATCTCTCTGGTGTTAACGGCCGTGTTCGCTGTAGTAGTTTTCCGGCTCATTGCCATGGAGAAGTTTGCCTCCTTCCAGTGGGAGTTTGTGAAAAAGAACTGGCAGTTTGCCACCTCTGGCACCGGAGTCTGCATCAACTTCATGATCATTATGTCCCTCAATGTGGTCAGCATCTGCTTTCTGTATAGTATCCAAAAGTTACAGTGTAAAATCAAACAGAACAGGCGTTTTCCACTGTCTGCATGTTTGCAGTTCCAGATGGTGTTCAGATGTAAACTAGAAAAATGTTTGCTCTCAACTGACAGTACTAAATAAATCATCTGCACTACTTATATACAATTATATAATAATAATGCTGCTTATTTAACGAAACTTGATTTTTGTTCTTTAATGCTTTATAAACAGTTCCTGTATAAAAGCATCCAGCGCTGTACAAAAGTCAGAGACCACTATTTATTTATTCAAGTTTCAGTAAAAATAATCATTAAATATAAGTTATTCATTTTGGGGGGATATTTATGAGGAGATTAGATGTAAGATTATCCACTAGCACAAGGAAGAGAAAATCAAAGGAAAGTAAGTGAAAACTGAAGTTTAAAAAAAAACAAATTAAAAGATACAGAGAAGATCGAACTCCTAACAAACCTGCAACACCTGCTAAACAGTACTTTCATATATGAGAGATCAAGTCCACTCTTGCTTCAGATCTGAAAAAATCCACAGGTGTTTCTGTCCATCCTTCCTGTGTTAGAAGACAACTCAACACTGTGAGTCTGAAAGGATGTGTAGCTGTCACAAAGCTGTTATTTAGGAAAAAGAAAAAAGGAAGAAAATTTACAAATCAAACTAAGAAGCTGCTGCTTTTCTCAAAACAATGGACTGACCTCCCCTGAGTCCAGTCCTCAAGATCACTGAATGTGTTTGGGATTATTTGGATCATGAGAAGCAGAAAATGCAACCAACTTCTTAGACTGAACTTTGTATGGAAAAAAATATCCCTTCAGATTTTTTTCATAAACTGGAAACAAGTCTCCTGAAAAAAACAGAAGTTATAATAAAGGCAAAGAGTGGACACAATAAATAATGAAAAATGTAATATTATACTTAGAATGTTATTTATAAACATTATATATTTTCGTGTAATTTAAATTTAAATTTAAATGTTAAATACATGTTTGGTCCTTTTGTTCCTAACACTGAAAAATGAACTGTACTGTCATTTTACCTGAAAATGAAATAAATAAAAATTGGCCTCTGACTTCTCCATGTGAATAAAGCAAGGTTATATGCTTTTTTTTTTTTAATGAAATGTTTGTAGTATTACGTAACAATGAGATTGTCCAATTCCAAGTGATTGATTTTCTCTTCATTGCTCATTTTATAGTGGTTTTGAGGAAATTCTCTCTGTTCTGACAGGTTTATGAGAAAGTGGCCTATCTGCTCACTAATCTAGGTAAGTTTTAAATATCGCAGTGTTCACGTCTTGTCAGGAACCGTACGGTCTCAGTAAAGGAATGTTAATCCACAAAGCTTTTGAAGGAGGGGAGGTTGTGGATTCCTGAATGGCACTCTGACTCAAACACGTTGGTCTTAGCTTCAGAAGCTGCCCCATGTGCAGAGCAGGGGTTCCCTAATGACTTGCATGTGCCAGCATGGTTAAACATCCACAGGGAAAGGTCACAGTCCTCCGGTTTGTGTTCCAGAACACCCACGGACTGAGTCGGAATGGGAGAACAGCTTTGCCCTCAAGATGTTCCTCTTCCAGTTCGTCAACTTGAACAGCTCCACCTTCTACATAGCATTTTTTCTGGGAAGGTGATTATTTAAAGAGTGAAATTGGAATAAAAAATGAGATAACATAAAGGTTCAGTTTATTTTTAGTCACTTTATTTTTACTCTCATTGATTGAAATAATATTCTGTTTGTTTGTTTGTTTATTCATAAAGTAAAGTATTTTCATCTTTAAATTAGGTCTTTATCTGTTTTCTTTTATCTGTTTACCATGATTTAATTTATTCTGCTTTGGGAAAAAGTATTCTCATAGTTTAGATGCTGCTGGAGTTTTTCTATTAAGTTCACTGCTATCATGAAATATAGTGTGCTCCCACTGAGAGTGCATTTTCTCTTTTCCATTATCGGAAAATAATATTACAGCACAGCTAATTGAATTTCAAAGCTAATATTCTGTGTGTTTGTGTGCGTGTGTGTTTTCACAGGTTTGCTGGCAGGCCTGGGGACTATAATAAGCTGTTTAACCGTTGGAGAATGGAGGAGGTGAGTGAGGTTGAGTTGTACTGAAAAAAGCTCTCCCACTCTGCTATCATTAACATCCTGCAGCACTGCCATCTTCTCCGTATCACTTCACTGCATCACTGTCAGGCCTCCGCCTATTACTGCCTGCTGGATGCGAATGCTGATGCACGTTATTGAATCAGCCTCCTTCATTATCAAAATAAACACTCGAGTCCCCATCAGCTGCAGACAGTGGCCTCCTCAAATGGGTCCAGCCCAGCTGCAGGCTTTGCTTAGGCTGAATGAAACTGCCCTGAACCTCCACTGGCTTCAAACTGCAGAATGGCTCCATGGCGGCCTACTGAACTTTCCAAGAAGCATGATTGTTTATGTTGTTGTCGCAGAAATGAGCAGCTCTGCTGTGAAATCTCTGGGAATGATTTGCTAAAAGTTTTCAGCCCTACTGTGTGATCTGTACTAATGAGACGCAGTAGACGTGTTTATACTGTTCTTTTTTGTGTTTCTTTCGCAGTGCCATCCCAGCGGCTGTCTGATTGATTTGTGCCTGCAAATGGGAGTGATAATGGTGCTGAAGCAAATCTGGAACAACTTCATGGAGTTGGGCTATCCGTGAGTGTTGTGTCTGCCTTAGAGGCTTTGTTTGTATGACCAGCTTTGTTTATGTTTATGATCATCTGTTCGCTTGTCTGCACTCTCTGATCTCTCCATTTGGTCCTCCAGATTTTGCGTGGGTGATTTTTTTTGTTTTTAAAGGAGTTTTCCAAAAAGGGTGAGGGATGTAGTTTCATGTTGTTTTTAAAAGAAACAATGTTTATTTTGGCTGTTGGTGATTCAAAAGGAGACAAGTTCAGGGCTACAGCTTTGTTTTCTCTTTTTGTGTTAGAACATGCCACAGTTTGGATGTGTTTCTCAGTGTGATGTGGTGCAGGCGGTGAAGCTGAGCTGTGATAGGACACAGGAAAGGGAGGGTATCCTCCTTTCCTGGTTTCATGGCCGAGTGGTTTTGCCTAGCGCTGCATTACCGACAAAGTCTTCGTCATCACAAAGAGCCGCACTACCTCACTCCTGCCGAGTGCGTGCATTGAAGCTTGCCAGGAACAGGAGATAATAGCTATGATTAGGAGCAAAGTTTAAAATAAATGTTGCCAATTTTCCAGTATGGCTGTCCACAGATGGATCATGGACACTGATAGTGAATGTTATGTGTATTATGTGCAGTACAGTACTGTACAAAACTATGAGGCATCTGAGAAAATTATATTTAAAAAGCTAATATGCAAAAGTTACTGTGCCCCCAGTCAAAGTGACACATTTTGTTGATTTTATTGTTTATTTGCTGTTGGGGTAAAATGTGGCCAAATGTGCAAAAGTTATAAAAAATATGTAAAAATTAGCAGAACATTGCCATGTAAATTTGCTTCCTGTTGAGGCTGTGTTAACTTATTTTCACTTACCCCATTTCCAAAAAAGTTGGGATGCTGTGCAAGATGTAAATAAAAACAAAATGCAATGTGCACATCATTTAACCCCTATATTTAATTGAAAATAGTACAAATACAACATATCAAATTTTGAAGTTGTGAAAATGTATTGTTTTTTTGAACATATGCTCATTTAACCATTTCCAAACCTCTCCTTGAGGAGACTGTGTAATCATCCAATACCTGTTTTGGCAAATCAGTATTTCATTCAGTCAAATTATATGTGCTGCTGGTTCTTAAAAACAAATCTATGCAATGCCTACTATATATTCTGTAGATAGCCCTGGTGTTTCGCTGCAGCTTTTGCTCAGAATTCCTGTCTGGACTGGCTTAGTTACTAAAATATAGGACATGTTTGCTATAATTTTACAGATAACATGTCAGTATATACTTCTTTTCATTTGATATCAAAAGAATATAGTGTAGAGCAGCATCCCTCTATGTCCATGGGATATGCAGCTAACTCTGGAACAACACGGTTGCAGCCTGCACAAGTTACTCTAATACAAAAAGTCCTGTTCAGAGATATTGTCACTCCCGTAGTTCTCAAAGTTTATTTATTTTCTTACACCAGTTAAAAATGCTAGCTGTCATTTACTCTGTGTGAGCATTTCATGATGCATTCCATAGAAATGGTTCAAAAATTGTTACATTAGCTTACATTGAAATTCAAGAACATTTTTCCTTCCCCTAAAGAGGTACCTTTTTGGACATATAATTTTTTTTTTCTGACGATGTGTTAATTCATTTGCAGTAATATATTTTGCTACTGAGGTTGCTCCATGCTGTGTGTTGTTTAGGCTGTTGCAGAACTGGTGGTCTCGGAGGAAGATGAGGCGGGCCGGTGAACAAAATAATGTGGAGGGTAAAGAGCAGCTGCCTCAGTGGGACAAAGACTGGAACCTGCAGCCCATGAACGCTCACGGCCTGGTGGATGAGTACCTAGAGATGGGTGAGTGGGGCTGGAGAACACAGCTTCCTGCTTAAACACACTACAGATCCACACGTTAGCTATGAACAGTGCAGGTAACCCATTAGAACTCCCATTCACAAAATGTATTGCATATGCAGCCTAACACATGTGACTAATAAAATTATTTGAAAAACAATGACTTTATCTGTGTGCAGTCCTCCAGTTCGGTTTCACCACCATCTTCGTGGCAGCATTTCCTCTGGCCCCTCTGCTGGCTCTGCTCAACAACATCATTGAGATCAGGCTGGACGCATACAAGTTTGTAACACAATGGAGGAGACCCATGCCAGCTAGAGCAACTGACATTGGTCAGTGTGTTGAGTCTTTTGGGTCACTTGTGACTACAGCATAAAACCTTAACGAGTTTGTATTAGATTCTGATGTATAGCATAAGCATTGTAACTGTTTAAAAAAAACTTACTTCTCTGCAGCAGTCACTCTGTGGGAAAAATCATCTGTTACTGAAACTTAAAAAAACTTGAATGGTTTTCATTTCGAAACTTCAGTTCGTCCATTAATCATAGATTACCACACAATGTAAAGGGTGCCTGGTGGTTTCAAATGGTGTAAAAAAAAAGAATTAATAACAACTGAAACAATATCACAAGAAGGTATGAGCTTTTCTTATGACCTTGGCAATAAGGGAGTTAAAAAGCCAACTGTAGATATCGAAATTCAGTATATTTATTGTACTGACCGAATTACTTCAATAGTACCAAGCATTGAAAAATTCTATCAAAACTGGTTGGCCTTAGCATCCATATGGCATGCTTGTTTCAAAATCTAGACTGCTGATTGGCTGTCTAAATTACATTCTCTGTGCATGTTATTAACATCAGCGCTTCTTGATTGGTCCATTGCAGAAAATATACTCACTTCCACCACCCCACACTAATTTCTGGTTTAAACCACACCCACTTTTGGCTTGTAATTAAAAAGTAAGTATTGAAAAAAGTATTTTATGAAGACTGGTATGTGAATTTAAGTATCGGTATATGCATTGATATCAAAAAATCAGACTGTACATCAGTCTTGGTTATTTTTTTTCGATGTGACACAGCATATCTATGACAGTGTTACTAAAGACCTTGATTTAAGCAGGATTTTATTGCCTGTTGCCCCATTTAATTGGAGTCACTCATTTAGCTATCAGTCAAGGTTATTCACCTCAGTGAGCTTGAAGCCGAAACAAAGCAAGAGATGACGATAGCATCTGACCTTCAGTTGCCTGGCCAGCTGAGGATTGTTCTAATTCTCTGTTTAAGATCATAATGAGCAGGCCCACTTTTCCTCCTTTGAAGAAGGCTTTATTTTCCATCATTTTCCATAATTGTTTTCAATATTTGCCCCAACAGTTTCCATCGATGAAGTAATATTATGTTTACATCATAAGATTCTAAACATTAATGACAGTAATTGCAGCAGTTAGGGTTTGGTTTATTTCTTTTGTGTGAGACTATGCCTATTGATCAGAAACAGCTTTTGCACAGCACGTGTGTTTGTTAATCTGAAACAGCTTTTGCTCTGTTTGGTCTTTTTTACATGTCTTAGTTGTTGCTGTGTCATTTGACTGATCCTTCCTCTCTATGCAGGTATCTGGCATGGTATCCTGGAGGGCATTGGAGTGGTGGCTGTCATTACAAATGCCTTTGTTATTGCCATCACCTCCGACTATATTCCTCGCTTTGTGTACGCCTTCAAATACGGGCCCTGTGTGGACAAGGGCTACCGGCATGAACAGTAAAGACACGTCTTCGTTTGTTTTTCTGTTTTTTTTTTTTTTGTTTAATGTCACAGACTCCCTCATCTTGACCCTATTATTCAGTGACCACATAGAAAATAGTGCAAAGCTATAGAGGATTATGTTGTAGGAGAGAGGAATTAAAGTCTATTGCTGTGTTTTTGCAAAAATGCATGAGTACAGATTGTTACTAAAGCAAAAGAAAGTTGTAAGAAGATTTATTGCACTGAAATTATTGTTGCAAGAAGGGCGTTCTGAGGACAGCTTAGACATAATTTGGTTTGGCATGCTGTAGTGACATCATGCTGTGGATTTATGTTGCAAGTTGTGTGGTGTTGTAAATCGTTAGTATGCAAAATTGACACAGCTTGTTGCAAGAAGTGCAGATGAAGTCATCTGTATTTGGAGTTGAATTTTAAGCATAGTGTTCTTGAATTGTTATTTATTCCATTTTCTCTGGTTAAATGCAGTGTTGGTGTTCCTGTGATTCTGTGATTGTCTACAGATGCCTGAAAGGATATATGAATAGCAGCCTGTCTGTGTTTGACATGGGAGAGCCAAAGAATGGAAGTCAATATCAGACGCGATACTGCAGGTACAATTAATCTGTTGGTCAGATAACATGTTCTGTTGATTTCCTAAATTAATATAAGTTGACCCATCCTCTACAGGGAACAATCTTACAAATGACATGTTTTTAGTGAACATTTTCTATTCATTTGCTTAGTTTAATGTGTTGGAAAAAGTAAAACATACTGTACCTAAAAAAAATAAGTGAACCGTGCTACCAAATTGGTTCAAATCAGATTTTAAAACGTACGATCTTTTATTAAAACAAATGAATGAACATTCCATTTTGTCACTAACAAAACAACCGTAACACTTCCAAAACTTTACCAAATGTTTTAGTTCTGACTCATTCGGTGACAATTGAATCAAATAGCTAAATTTGAGCATAACTCAAAAATGCTAACCAGTACGTGAGCAAACACAGTCTGTGCAAAATTTAAATAGGCATGTTTCTTTGGTTCAAAAACAAATCTACTACCTAAAAAATCACCTATTAGAAAACACACGTGACTTGAGCTTGATGTTGTTCATTAATAATTGGCCCAAAACCATTTTTTCCTTAATGCTCTGAGTGTCCTGTTCCACTCTGCAGATATCGGGACTACAGAGAACCTCCATGGAGCTCCGAGCCCTATGAGTTCACCCTGCAGTTTTGGCATGTACTGGCCGCCAGACTGGCCTTCATCATTGTGTTCGAGGTGAGTGACTTACAGTGACTCTTCAAAGCAGTTTGAGTATCAGTACCACGTGTTATGTGCATTAACCCCTAAATGCCTGTATGTGAGTCAAGACCTTAATTCATAACTCCCAGAATACTTTGCATAATAGTTTCATACTACATAATAATTTAATAACTGGATATTTACTCCAGTTTTCAAGGAGTAAAGTAATACTGTGTCTAAAATGCATAGTTTGTCATACTGTACAAAATGATGTCAAATTCTTGGCAGGCTGTATAATATTATATGTTCATGTGCTTTGGATGCCAGATTAAATGAAAAAGCTTCTGCTTGGGTCATCCATCAGCACTAACCACTTGTAGCTGGCAGTTATGTATCATTCTCTGACATTCTCTCCTATCAGTGGATTATTAAAAGTGCACTGTAGCAGTAATCACATCACTACAAGATTTTGGTCCAAACTTCCTGACACTGTTACACTTTTGTCCTTTTGGCCATATTTGGTGGCAAAGGCACTAAATCGTTTCTGCGACAATTCAAGGTTCATATTAGACAATAGGTGCCTAAGAGATCAGACACATAGCACAGGCGAAAAATTAGTTTCTAGATAATATACAGTTCATTAGTCATGTTTTTTTCTGCCTGCTGGAAGCATCTATTTAAAACAACAGTTGGCTCCTGAGAGGGCTCTAGACACTGACCTTTGGAAGATTGCAAGTTTTATCCCGGCGATGCCACAGCCATCTGTGGCTGGGAGTCCGAGAGTGCATAGTTGGCCTCATGCTCTCTGGGTGGGAAGATGGCCCTCCCTCTCCCCATCACTCAGAGTGATGCTAGCAAGTGTGGGAGTCTGTTAGCTGACATAACCGAATTGGCAGTGTTCTCTATCCAATAACAGTTCAATGGTGCGTTGAGGTGTCTAATGACACTGCGCTAGCTGTAGTTTGAAAAGATGCGGTGGTGTTTTACATGACTTGGAGGAAGCATGTGCTGACCTTCACGCTCCCAGCACTGGTAATATCATGTGACTTGGGGAGGCTTAGCTAGAGAGGGGAAATGGGAGAAAAAAAATCCAATTTTCCAATACTCTTAATATAGTCAATCAGCCAAGACAAGTTTAATGACTATAGTTTACTTTACTAATTATGTAATGGAACTATGAGGCTAATGTAGCTAACAAGGAAAAGAAGCTGATCCACACACTTGCCTTAAACCGTGTTGAGTTGTTAGGTAATCTTTAATATACTTGCTTATGTAGTTTCTGGCATGCTGTTGTCTAGCTTGTTATTCAGGCTTCAAGATGGCTGTTACGTCTGCTTTTAGCTTTGCACCCTACGTTGCAAACTACTGTCCAATTTATCAATTGTTTGCATGATTTGTGGTTTGTACAGTTTATACAGGGGTTAATACTCTTATTATTTCGTTTTGGATCTTGATAAAGGTACGTTCTATTAACCCCTTAAAAACCCCTTAAAAACTACATGAATTACAATGCAGACTGACTGAGTTATCTTTTCTTATACAAGTGAGTAATAAAAGTAATATCACTCCATGAAATAAGGTCTTAAATTAAAAAAGGTGTTGCATAAACTGGTGTTACACTGAGAGATTATCACTGTAGTATCTAAGCAACACCTAATAGCATAACCTAGATTGGATGGTATCAGGGTGGACCAGCTCAGCAGGTACTAATAATAATTTTAATTAATAATTACATTTTTTTAATTAAAATTTAAAATAAAAAAAATCCTTTTTAAAGCAGTACCTGACTTTTTTGTAATAAAGTAAGCTTGTTGATAGTAAAAACTACTATATGTGTATATATATATATATATATATATATATATATATATATATATATATATATATACACAAGATGTATTGTCCTAGTGGCCCAAGTGGAGCAGAGCAGATTTTTTATCTACCTCTGAATGTCCTGAATGTTTTGTTATGTGCATATCATGCAGGGTGTTTTGTGTCATCGTGTGTTGTTCTTCCTGTCTCCAGCACCTGGTGTTCGGCATTAAAACCTTCATTGCTCACCTGATCCCAGACATGCCTAAAGACCTTTGTGAGCGCATGCGAAGGGAGAAGTACCTGATGCAGGAGATGATGTACGAAGCAGAGCTGGAGCACCTGCAGAAGGAGAGAAAGAAAAACGGCAAACGTTATCACCATGAGTGGCCTTAGCTGTGCCTATCAGACTGACATATCATACACACTCACACATGTACACACTAAAACACACACCGTCATGTGAGAGCACACAGATGTATAAAGGCACTGACGTGGACTTTCAGTGAACGTCCATGCAGGAAACACACTAAGGCAGCATATTTGCAGAATACACGCACTCATTTGCATGTCCATCCTGCAGCTTTGGGTGGCTAGCTTTACTGAATTATATGAGTCCACTGATGGATCAGATTGTGAGACTTGTAAGGGTGGAGCTTTACCAGGGACAGGCCCCACCCTACTGGAGTGGGCAATCCTGTTCTGCACAAAAGTCCTCCCCTGGGTCACATGACTCGCCCGAGGTCCTCCCATTATCCTCTCTGTTCCCCCTGGCCACCCGCTGAGCTTTTTTAGCTGAATGTGGCCGCTCTGGCTTGGATCCTGGCACTTTGACTGTCTCTTTGCCCACAACTGCTGTTTCCTGACCTGGCCTTTTCCAGCTTCGCTCTCTCCTCTACCGCGTCACAGTTTTCTAAAGGGAACGGGACGCCTGTGCAATTGTATTGTTTACTATGCAGACGAATGGCTTTGGGGTTTTCTACCTCAAAACACGGCCCTTCGTCATTCCTCTTAGCGCTCTCCCCTCTCTCTCTCTCTCTGTCCTCTCTCTTTCTTTATAATTTTTCTTTTTTCTGCCTTTCTTTCTCACTATATATTGCTCTGTCATTCTGTCTCTTTCTTTCTCTTTTTCTTTCTTCCTTTCTCTGATTCCCTATTTCTCTATTTCTCTTTCTTTTTCCCTTTTTAATCTTTCTCTCTCACTTTTTCTCTTGGTTGTCTTCTTTTGTCTTTATCATTCTTTCTTTCACTCTTTCTTTCTCTCCCCCTCTCTCTCTTTCTCCCTTTCTCTCCCTCTCTCTCTTTCTCTCTCTCTCTCTCTCTCTCTCTGTCTCTCTAATTTCTCTTTTTCTGCCTTTCTCTCACTCTCTATTGCTTCAGCCTCTGTCATTCTCTCTTTTTCTTCTTTTTTATCTTTATCTTTCTCTCCCTTTATCATTCACTCTCACTCTTTCTCTTGGTTCTCTTTTTACATCTTTCTGACTCTTTCTTCTCTCTCTCTCTCTCTCTCTCTCTCTCTTTCTCTCTCTCACTGGCAGCTAGTGTCCCGCTATCATCCGGACTCCGTCTGAATCTCTCTCTCAGTGCAGTTTGCCTCTTTGACCCTGTTTGATACTCCTCTGAATGCTCTGGCACTGACTGGCTTTGTCCCTTTCACCGCTCGCCAGCATCTCACACCTACTCTTCTTACAAATGTGACTATTCTGGTAATGTGACTACCAAAAAAAAGACATTGTTTATGCAAAAAGAGAGCAATTAAAAATATGAATTATAATATAAATATATGTATATCTATAGAATATACTGTATATCACCCTGAAATAGCATGCAGATGTTTTAATAGGTCATTTTGTTTAGGGTAAAGCAAACCATAAACCTTGGCAGAATGATGGTACTTTTAATTTTCCAATGTTTTGTAGATTTCTCTAAATTTATTTATGATTTTTTTATTCTTCTGTTTTCTCTTTTTGTAAAAAGAAGTTGCGTCTTTGTCCAGATGCCTGGCTTTATATACTCTGTTTGGTATGAACATGACAGTGTTGACAGAGTGCAGCTGTGCTTGGATGTGGTTTGAATTGTGATCCAGAACAATTTGGTGTACGCTACATGTGCCTGCAGTTGCACGTGATCCACTCATCCATGCCTACATTATAAGTGTGGTGGATAAAAAGAAATTCTTGTCTTTCACCATGATACAGTTAACTGCATAATTATTGGCATCCTTGGTAAAAAGGTCTTGGCTTTGTGGTTTATTGGCTCAATCTCTTTGGAAGGCATACCAGAAGAAGCACTTTACTTCTTCTAACCACAAACATAAGCATTTGAAGTTGTTGAGACACTACTGCACCACCAGGTTCTATGGTCAGGTGAAAGAAAAATAGAGCTTTTTGGTAACAAACACTAAAAGTGGGTTTGGCTCAGAAGGAAGGATAGTTATACAAAAGAACCCCATTCTTACTGTTACGTATTGTGAAGTATCTGTGATGTTTTAGAGATGTTTTTTCTCCGAAAGCATTTGAAACCTTGTTAATATGCACGGCATCATGGACTTCATGAAGCACTAAGAAGTTTTAAATGAAAATCTGGTTCTGCCAGAAAATTGAGTTGGGCTTGTATCTTCCAGCTGAAAAGTGATACAAAACAGACACAAAATGATTAAATGACCACAGACTGATGCTTTTGACATGGCCATCCCAGTATCTTGAAACCTCCTATGTGGTAAGATGAAAAGGACAGTCCAGGAGAGAAGACCCGGGACCCATGGGGAATTTAATGTACAAAGATTATAGCACATTTAATATGTTCTGTTTATTTTTTTCCAGTATGTGTAGTTCAGCAAATAAATTGAAAAGTGTACTCTAAAATTTGCAGGAAAAAATTTAGAGAGAAGGAGGTAGAGGAGCGTTTAGGTTTTTTTGCAATAATTTTAGATGTTAGATTTCTCTCATCATTTCAGGGCAAGATTGTGCTAATTAACTTAATTTAACTTAATTTAATCACATTTTTACCCATCTACCCATACACATTTACCCATTTGGTTAAAAGGTTGCCAATAATTATGGAGCTGACTGTAAGACAGTGCTGGTGATTTAAGTCTGTTGTGGAAGTAAGGAGACTTCAGGCCCATAGAAAACACATTTAAGTGTAACATAAAAGATCTTTCTCTAATAGTACTAGAGAGGAGTAGCATTTGCTTGAAATATGTTATATAAATCGACAAAATCAGGACAAACCTTTATTTTATGTTACCTGTTGGCTTCTTATGCTGTGGAAAAGTTTGTGTTGGTTGCTGTTTTCTTTCATTGCTTCTCTGATTTCTTTTGTAATTTGTACAGTTTGTATCAGTTTTACATTTGCTGTGTGTGTGTATGCATGTCTGTGTGTGTGAGTTAGAGAGAGAGAGACAGAGAGAGAGAGAAAGAGCACGGGACTGTGTGTGTGTGTCTGTGTGTGTGTGTCTTTTGTAGAGCTAATGAACAGAATGCTGCTAGCATGTTTCTCACTCTTCTCTCCCACAACCCAAATCAATATATCTGTTCTCCTCAGGCCCGTCAACGTCTGCAGGCGATAACGAGTCGATATCATGTTTTCTCAGCTCATTATTAGACCTAAATCTGCTTTGTAAGGTAGATATTTTTGCACTTTCTATTTGCATGGATATTAAGGCATACCCACATCATAGAGAGGAAAGAGCACTTTAAACTAAAGCATGGCTTGTTTTCATGTACCTCAACAACACAACACAATGAGATGCTAGCCTGGTTTGGGTCCACACTACACAATATAGCACAAAATCTGTTCTGCAACAAACATACTTTCAAAATGTGAAGTCATTCCTTTTATTTCCAGTTAAGGCAAAATCGTAACAAAAAATGTACATATTTACTTTGTTATATAGTTAACAGAAATGTATTATTTACTTTATTAATACTTCAGGTTTTTTTAATTAATTGCAACATTTAGTAATGCACTTCCAGTCGTGGAGATCCTGCAGAGATCTATCTATTTCAGGTGGAAAAAGGCTTCTGGTACCTTCAGCTGAAATGTACAGTGATTTGTAACATGCTTTTCTCTTGCCATGATGTGTGTGGTATACCGGCAATCTATGCATGATCTCAGCCATGACGGCCGCGTCCATCCTGAGTTCCTTGAGAAACACGTATGTGTATTGGTGCACTCTTTTGCTGTGGAGTCTGCATGGCCCTCATAAGCTTAGTCCTGAGAAAAACTGATCCGTGATCAGCGAGCGGCTGTCACTCACGTTCAATCAGAATATCCAATCAAACACTGTAGTTGACCTGTCTATGCTCCACCTATGAGTTCAGGCTGAAACAGAATTTAAGCTCCACCCATGAATGGAGTCACAGTAACATTGTTTCTGGATTAAAATGCTACTGAGCTAACTTATGCTGTCCTAGCTAATCGAGACAAAGCAAATTGAAAAGAACTAATTTTAGCTTTTAGTCCACAGCTTTTTAAACAATTATTTGATCAAGTAAAAATGTCAGTAGTACTAGTACAAATGTAAAATTCAACATGTAAAAAAATTCTAATGTCGTAATCCAAATTTTACTAGATACATTTTAGTATGTAAGAATTCAGTTATCATTAGTATGAACTCAGCTTTAACTAGTTTATTTTAATGAGAGGAACAATTTTTTAAGTATGAATTTAACATAATTCAGTAAATTTTGAAATGTTGAAATTCAAATTATTACATATTCTAATTCAGTTATTCAGTGAAAATTAAATTGTTACAAGTAAAAATGTAGTTCTCTAGATTTTTTTTATTTTATTTTAACATTTATCACGTGTTAAAAGTGAATTTTTACTAGCTAGTAAAAAATGTTCATCCCTTTAAAATGAATTGGGAAAAGACATGAGTTCTTACTGAATAATGAACTAAATTCTTACACACATTCTTAAACATAATTGCTACTAATAAAATTTCAAAAATTAATAAAACTAATAAAACTTTTCAAAAATCTTTTACTCGTATACAAAATAAGCAGCATTTTTAATTCATTTTCCTAGAAGATGTGCGCTACAATTTCCCATTGGGTTATTATTTTTTATTTATTCATTTATTTATTTTGTAGAAAGCATTTATGGGCGGAGCATGGACAGGTCAACTGACCTGTGTCTTTTGAATAATGAATTGTGAACAGCCTTTAATGTTTCTGTCACCTGTTTTTTAAGGCTGTGTCATTAGTGAATGTCATTCTTCAGTATCTGGTGACAACACTTTGTTGTATACACAGTATCCATATAACTGGCAAAAACATACAACAAAAAAAAAGTTTTTACGCAGTGAGTAAAGCATGCAATATGCCACAGCGATATAATCAATACTTCAAACATGTTTATTCATTAGGAAGAAGAGCACTTGTTATTGTACCAAATGCTTCCGTCTAGCACACAAGACTGAACATTTCAGTTATTTTCAAAATCAGGTTTCCTAGAAAAAGCAATGGGTATGGTTGATATGTAACATGGTTTAAGGCTGAGTGTGGTTATGAGAGAGTTTCTTAATATGCATTATGCAAGAGAGTGATATGCAAAATTGCAATGGTGTGATGGGTGATATATAACAGTGGCAATAGGTGCTCACTCAATGGTATACAGTTAATAAGATTACACAAAAAACAGCCCTCTGACCTCTGATCTCAGCAAATTAGCTGGGGAAAGTCCAGTTAAGAGTCCATTTTGAACAGTGTGGAATGTTTCAGTACAACAGCACAGCACATTATTTGTACTCAAAACTATGGTGACATAAATGGTATCAGCAACGTGCTTTGTTTACACCATCCCTGTTTACATGTAAAAAAAGAGTATGGAAATAAAATTGTACAAAAAAAGCTGTAACATAAATTTGGATATCACTCTTTTCTGTAATAAATCATTGATTGTATCTTTTAACTAAAGTGGGTGGAGTGTTTTTTGGTTTTGACTTGGTGTTGAATGAATTAAATATTTTAGAATGCTTTTTTTTTATTACTGAGTATTTTTTCCACTGGTTACACTTTTGACAGAACTTGGTCTGCTGGTGTCTGGGACAAAAGCAGCATTAATGTAAGCCTCATTCTGTAAGGTGTAACTGCGCTTCTTGCCATTTGT